TCCCACCAACACAAGAGGCCTCTTTGATGGCCTTCACTCACCAATGCCCTCAGAAATCTGCCACCACGACGCTGCATGGAACAGCAATAGTAAAATCAATAACATGTTTTTAAACCTCAAGAGAGCTGAGGGTGGTGCGATATGTTTACTACACTGCAATGACACAGGCTTCTCCCAGAAGATAATAAGACGATGTACAAGAGGAATCATTGTGGAAAAAAATATTTTTCAGCTTTTATTTACATTTGAACAAAAAGTGGCATGTCCAAAATTATTCATACCCTTTGCAAACTGTCACAGTCTATGGGAAAATCTAAAGTTCTATACCATTCCAAATAGTCCAACCTGTCTAAAGCATCTTAATTACCCGGATTCATTGGGAACAGCTGTTTTAATCAACTTAACAGTGAAAAAACGCAGCTCTCTGCAGTTGGTTTGTGGACAGTCATGACTAAGACAAAGGAGCTCACTGAAGACCTGCGGCTGTGCATTGTGGCTGCTCACAAGTCAGGAAAGGGCTATAAGGCCATATCTAAACGTTTTCAAGTTCCAGTGGCTACAGTGCAAAGTATTATTAAAAATTACAAGACGTTCCGCACTGTGGAAAAAATCTCAGATGACACCGTGTTGCTAGGCTCCAGGGAGGATAGTGAGAGAGGTGAAGAAAATACTCAAGGATATCACCATACTTAAGGCCAATAACCTTAGTCTGAATTCTAATAGCTATCTGCTTTATGTGGTAGATCAATTCCGTACCTCAAGATGTTCAGTGGACAGGTCGCCAACGAACACTAGCTCACTATACTGTAATCTGTAGATTATATCGCACGGAGAGTCATCGAGTGACCATAAGGAGGATGTGGGTATTCTTCCGTATGCGTTGCTCAGAAGCTAAATATATTAGATAGACTATCCATGAATAAGCGCAGCTTCGACGCGGTAAGCAATGATTGAACTGTCATGCGGTTGAATCATAGATGAGAATAATTATGTTACTTCTGCGGTCTGTGTCTGTATAATATAGGTTTATGGTTGACAGTATCGAGAGTACCTAATGAAATATTTTTTCTTGAATTGTTTGGCCGACGACATTGATAGTATACCTTCTATTTGCTTAAATATATATAATATAATAACTAAAGCCTTCGAGACAGGTTAAGAACACATGCTCCCACTGTCCAAACATGGTGGTGGAAACCGGTAATGCTTTTTGGGTGCTGGTGTGTATTTACAGAATCGGCTATACTAGAGAAACCGTAAACTTAGCCAAGAATTTTAGTAAACGAGTCGACCATGAAAAAGGTATTGCGGAGTCACAATTGCAAAAGCTATTTCCTTCTACCAACATCATCAGGCGTATCTGCAGAGTGATGACTTGGCCTTGGGACCGAGCCAGTGACAAAATTTCAAGCACGACAACGACCAAAATCACACAGCAGGAAAGTAGTGGTGGAAGATATAATTTTAAGTTTGCGCGACAGTGTATTAAGAGCAGAACTGATTACCGATTGGTGCAGGAAGGATTTTACTGCGCCAGCCAGAAGTCCTGAGACTAAATAGAGAGTAATCCAATTTGAGGGAATCATTCGTCCTTTGGTTGACTGGCGCAGCTTATAAGATTCGGAGGAGTGATGGCGTAAGAGGAGGAGAGCTCTCAGACGCCTGAAAACAATGATTATTGAAAGATTGAGCTCATCGCTAAAGATGAATGGCAAAAACCAGTGAGACGAGTCAAAAAGAGGCTGGCGTCTCACTAATTATAGAAGCGTTTTGATTGCTGCGTGAATAGCCAATAAAAGGCTTTTTCTATTGATATTGAGAGGAGGTGATATAAGGAGATAATCTTTTGGAAACATTGCCCACTTTTTTGTTCAAATGTAAATAAAAGCTGGAAAAATAGTTTTCCAACAATTGATCCTCATGTGTACATCGTCTTATTATCAATTTCTGTGAGAATATCCTGTGTCATTTCCCGGTCAAAATAAAAACTTGCTGGTTGAATAAAAGTAACTTTAAGGTCAAAAATTTGCCAGCGAGGGTATGAATAAGTTCGGTGTCTTAGACTGTAGTGGTTGTTGTTGTATCGAATGTGTGTGTGGTGGACTAGTGTGGTGTGGGTTGTACTGTACCTGTATATGTGTGTGTATATATATATATATATATATATATATATATATATGTGTGTGTGTGTATATATATATATATATATATATATATGATATGATATGCTATGACACTGTCTGATATTGTGATGACAATATGACTTGCAATAAATAAACAAGTACTGAAGTGTGCTGAGTGAAGCTGTATGAAGAACACAAAGGTCACTATGGGTCATCTCCTTCGTCCTCCTCCCTCTGCTGTAGGTAATGCTGCTGGGGGGAGGGGGGGGGGCTGTCTCAGGCTGTAGTTACAAGTTTAGAAAAGTTTGTGTCAAATGAAGCGGCAGCTACACGTTTAAATCTTGTCACACACAGGTGGTGCGATGGAGGGCGCTGACTGACTTTTTATTTACAAAGGTTATGATGACCACCACAGAACTAAGAACTACAACTACGACTGTAGTGTTTCTCACATAAANATATATATATATATATATATCCAAAACACCACTGAGACCACTCTCACATTCACTTAATGTTGTGGCGATCAGTGTACAGTACACAGCAGAAATGAGTACACCCCTCTGAACATAAAGATTTTTTTTTTCCTGAATGATCAACATTTCAATTCAACAGGTGACAAAAATGAAATTTATTAAACACATGTAACAACAACATAGAAAGATGTGTCATCAATATTTAAAAAATAAGTAAATTGCACAACTTTGCTTAAATCTAGAGTTGCAAAGATGAGTTCAACCTGGTTTCAGTCCAAGTAGAACAAAAGTCTTCACCTTTGTCAGTATGGGCCAAAGGCTAAACAGGCTCTCTTGTACTGTGGCTTCCGCAGTGGCTTCCTGCATGAACAGTCATGTGTTCCACCTGTGTGCAGGATGTGTCTCAATGTGTGACGTCAAACAGTCACTCCAGTTTGGCACTTGCTTGCCAATTTTCACTTTTAGTAACAAAACTCGCTTCGTCCTGAACAGGTGAAATCTTATGGACAGCGACCTGGAGTTTTCTTGTCCCTCTTTGAATTTCCATTCCCTATATTTGTGAGCTGAGTGTGTGCTAAAACCTCTTGCTACCCTTATGCTCTTTTCTATGTAAAGATGGAAATAAGTTGTGTTTCTCAAGTCTAACAGCTATCTCTCCCCATGTGCTGCCATTGTGTCAGCATTAAGTCTGAGAGCGATCAGTGCGGTTAGGTCGAATTCTTTACATTATCACCAATTACACCTGTTTGAGTGGGATGGTTCAACAGACTCACCTGGTGAGTCTGGTGCCCTTAACAAAACACCAAAACACATTTATTTAAACACTATCACATGAGAGGGAGAGATGTTGCAGAATCACATCACAGCCGTGCTGCAGTCAGTACATCACCTCATCACTCACGTCCATCATGTGACATGGCTTTTAAACAACACAGTTACTACGAGTGCCATATTAGTTAAATAAGCAACACAGATTATGTTTAGTTTTGTTTATTTCATCATTTATTTGGCTACGCCAAACACAAATAGTTCCGCAACTGGACTGGTACTGGA